TGTGTGTGTGTTTTTGTTTGTTTGTGGGTGGGTGGATACGTGCTGTATGGTGCGGTGTACCTACCCCAGGCTGAATAGAAATCGATGAAGCATGCTATGTATGTGTGTGCGTTCTATACATACGTCTGTAGTGTAAGCATGCGTTATGTAGTAGTGCATATGTGCGTAGTGTACGCATGCAAGGTTTATGTGTGTAGCGTAGGCATGCACGGTTTTTTCCCAAGAACCCTTCCCAAAGCTTTCGGGAATAAGAGAGTATTGCGTCGACTTGCGGTAGCAAGCTAGCCAATGCACCGGATAGACTGCATGTCGGCATGTTTAGTTCAAGACGGGCAGCAGCAGGAGGATGTATGCGAACATGTCTGGGCAAGCCCATTTGCTGATGAACTGCACGACCTGCACCGGAAGTCGTTCAAACATGATGCAATAAAACCACAAGATGTGCATGGAGTACTGCCGCCTTTTAAAACTTTTGACAAGTCCGCTGGCATTCCGTTCGGGTTCCAATGCTGGGCCTGAATAAAGCGCTTGGATTTTTGTACTTGTCGTGGGTCCTTCCAAGTGGATCCAAGTCGCGACTTCCTCACTTGCTAGAATTACTCGCGGTGCAACTGCAACATCCCAGGCTGGGTGTATTTGATGGGATTCTCTCCAAGTCCTCACTGTCACGCCAAATCTCTGCCACAATCAGAGCGATGAGCTTGACGGAAGGAATGACCATAGCGTAAATGACCACCCTCAGAATGCGCATACGGAACCTGATCTTTAAGATGAAGGATAGAATTGCAACGATGCTGGCGAACAAGATCCTGCATGCCTATCTCATGACAGAGCAGGACATGTGGAAGCTGGTACGACAGGTGCTGCGGGCAGCAGTGGTACAAGGCTATGCTTTGCCGCACAAGGCTTTGCTGCAATGATGCACTTCCTCTCTGTGGGGCGAGGCGCAGAATCGCGCCCACGTAGCCGCCGGTTTTGCACAGCAAATGCACCAAACCGAAGGTGGATTCGGCGATCGGGCCCGGTTCCCCGTCCACCTCCGCGGCTTCCATTCTACAAAACCTCTTGGTTTTCGGAACACACAGCGAAGTTCAAGCAGCCTCCGTCAGCAAGACATTGATGCCCAGCATTTGCACACCCAGCAGGAACTCGAAGAGGTTTGAGACCAAGCCTGGTGCTGTCAGGTGATACAGCTTTCGCCGGTTTCTCAGGTTGCCTGATGCACTGTTAGCCGCCATTGGCGGCAGGCTACCACTTGGCAGATGTTCATGTGGTTCATCCAGGGGCGGTCCGTTCAGGAAGCAGAAATCGGACCAAGTGTGCTAGACTTGCTAAACATGATCACGATGCGTCTTGCGATGTTGAGTTGCGGATTTTTGAGGCAAAACCGTTGCCTGTGCCTTCAGAAGCCACAACGCAGAATCATGTATGTGAAAGATCACTCCGTGCCACCAAGCCATCTCTGCTGAACCCCCGTGCCCCCGAAGAGCCCTCAGCTCTGCCGGCGTTCCTGGAATAAGGATGGCATAGCTGCCCAACAGCATCGCCAGACAAGTATAGGACGGCCGTGTGAGCACCTTCTTCACTGGGAACAGCCTCGCTGCTGCAGGCACCGGGTGGAAAACTACGCTGCAGGCATTATGCCGTTTGGCAGGTGCGGGGTTGTACCTCGCCAGGCTCCAAGAACTTCATGCGAAATCCCGCACATATCATTCTGTCAAGTCGCACATCTGCTGCGTAACCCATGCCGAGGACTGCCAGCAGCACCCCGACGCACGTAACTACCTCGACAAGCAGAGCTGCAAAAGTGGCTCGGGCAAAGCTTCCTGTCCGATCTGCCTGAATGTTGATCTGCCGGATGGAGGGAGGCGGAAGTTCGAACTTGTCCACGGCTCGATCACCTGCGCGCAGCCGACAGGTCGTCTGTAGTTGAAAATCTGGCAGCTACAACGACTTACTCAGAGAATGCGTTCTTGTCAGTCAGCCCCGCTGCTCATCAAGCGTATGGCTGGCCTAGCAGGGCCTTAGCCGCTGAGTCGGTGACAGAGCCGACCTTGAGACAGGAGGCACTGTGCTCGAAGAGCCGGGACAGCTCCCGGTTGCATGCAAGACACTACATCCTGAGCTGCAGAGGAGATCGCCTCCCCCGCAGACTGCAGAGCGTCTGACAAACCTCCCCATGTTTCCTCAAGGGATGACTTCACTCAGTACAGCGTCAATGCGTCTCTTGATGATGTTACTATAATGTGGGCACTGGCAAAGCTCCTGGTGCGCAAGTCGCTGGTGCGTGATGTGCGTCAGACTTCTCGCGCTGAAGGAATGCACGGCTGGCGCGGACGCCCATAGACAAATGAGGAAAGAGTACACTACCGGAGGCCTCATTGAGGCGAAACTGACACTCTAGGTGGGTGTTCCAGCCTTTGGGCCAAAAGCCAACCGAGTAGCCAACATCAGAGTGTCTGGTAAGCCGTCAACATATATAAACGGAACGAAACCTGCTTGTTTTGCACTGCCGGTCCTGGTGGTGCAAGCACCCTGCAGTTTGCATGCAACTACGACGAGGTTCTTCCTTCGGGATCGTAGAAGACGACGCCTGCAAGGATTGGAGCCCAGAGAAATTGCAAGAGACTAGAATCAGAAGTCTTCTTACCCTAGTCTCGTCTGGTCTATCTGCGCATACCTGGATGGCATCGGAAACCTGCCCGAGCCTCAACTCTCTCACCCAAGCCTTGTTCCACAGCTGCCTGCAGCCAGGGAGGTGGTGCAGAGGCATCCTCGAAAGACACCTGCACAAAACTGGAGGCAACTGTGGAGGTAGTCATGACCAAACCTGAACCAGTCATGAGTCACGCCGCCAAGGCAGCGCAATTCTATCCAAGTGTACTCTCTTTCTCTCTCTCTCATTCGGAGGAACATCTTTCTCCCTCGAAGTTTCCAGCCCAGCCGCTCCAAGGGCATTCGCTGCGGCTAGCCATGGGGGCATTGCGCTTTGCTGCGTGGCCTCCTCCGCCAGGGCTCAAATTCACAAATTCACAATCTGCAATTCGTTTCGGAGCTGGCATTCGAGATCACTCGTGGTTCCGGTTGAGGCTAGCCAGCACCCTCTCGTAGCTGAGTGAATTCGAGGGTCTTCCCTAGCAAGAAAGGAGCCAAGTTTGACAAGCATCAGCCGCCCTCAACACTTTTCTCCAAACATACCGCAGAGTCGCCATAGCCGGAACGAGGGGCCAAACTGTACATGGCACCGTCTGAGCGAAAGGGAATAATCACTCAATGTCCGGCATGCCTTCTCAGTCGTCTGCGGCTTGAGTATGTCTAAACACTGGTGAAAGGTGGAGCTCGAAATTGTTGTTCGAATTGTGTAAGGGAAACGATCAGAACCCTTCGTCCACGACAACAGGCCGCATTACTCGGCAGGCACGACCTCACGATGCATCCAAACGAAGTAACACAGCAACCTCCAAAGACTTGCCAAAACGCTGTATATGTGCTGCGGGTTCCATATGCGCCTTTGAACATGTCGGCAGTGACATTCTTGTGCTTCTAGCATTGAGACAAGCCACTGGAATCTTGTCCAGCTCTCCTAGGCATGAACATGAAAGCACACGCCAGCTGACTCAACCCCAGGGCTTGATGCTCAGCGCCGCAGGCCAAAATGGCTGTCTGCAGCTCCTAAACCGGACATGCTATTGCTGAGGCAGTTGTTCAGGTCAAGTGGCCTTTGATGGCAGCCTCGATCCACCAACCACCGAGGAAACGTGTGACCGACTTCTTCAAGCCGTCGCCAGGAAAGAGCAGCTGCACATGCCCCTGTTTGGCCAGCTCCTCAAAGGCAGAGACGTTTAGGTGTCGTTTCATTCTGTGGTCTTGCCACCAAAAATCAAAGGCTGCAGGTATGGTCTGAAGCACTGTAGCACTGGAAGGACAAAAAGGTGAGGCGAGGTGAGGCGAGGTGAGGTGAGGTGAACGATGCGAGGTGAAAGTGTGAGGCGAAAGCTGTGAGGTGCGGGCTGAGGTGAGGGACTGACCAGGCCACGAGCCCGGCCTAACACAGGACGTCACCTTTGGCGAGAAGGCTGGAGGCATTTTGGCCCACACAGCAACAACAACGCCACAAAGCAAAAACAAACGGCAACAGCCGAATACGCAGGACGATCCGAAAAGACCTCCGTGTTAGCAGAGTGCCGCTACGAAGCCGACCGCGAGCTGTGGAGCAAAGCTGACAAATTGCCGGCGCATTGGACATGGACAGCGAGCAGTTGGGATACCACTGAGACAAAAAGTTTGAAAGTGAATAAGTTGGCCGAAAAGAAGAAACATCGCCTTACCTAGCGCTGCCATGAGGAAGTTGGCCACGAAGCATGGGGGTACCACCACAGTGCGCCTGCACACCGTGGGCACCGCGCACTTTGCGCGAAAGTTGGCCTTGAGCCGTAGAGATACCACTCTGGTCAGCGGGCCCGGGTACCTCTGCGGTGACAATCTGAGAATGCACCGCAACGGAGGCCTTGACCATATCACCACGGAGACAATCGCCGCCATTAACACATGTTCGGTGGGTAGTTCATAGCATTGTGACCCCATCGGCAAACCCTAATTCGACTGGATAAGCGCTCGCTGGTGCTCGTTGCATTTTGCGCTAAGTGCTGCCCTATGCGTGACCCAATCTCGCAAACCAGCAAAGGGGACAACATCGCCGAAGGGCCCAGGTGTGCAAAAACACCAAAGCGAGCCAGCTGAGTTTGGACACTACGGCGATACTGGAATGCTGACATAGACAACATGTTGCCGCGTCTGTCCTCGGGAGCTTCCATGACTTGGCACAGCTCACCATACTTCGCTTGGTCCCAGTCGGGCTGGTCAACCACCCGTAGCTTGCCTCACTATCACTTGCTGGAACCATCAAATTTTCGCCTAGATTGAAGACCCCCGAACATGCTGATGGCACGTGAGGAGACGGCAACCCCGGCAGCATCAGCAACCAAGAGGGAGCTCATTACCACAAGACATTCGATCTGTCCAGGCCAGTGGCTTCCCACCCGCAGGTCCAGATGCAGCTGGGCTGTGGTGGACTTTCGACCATCCCGGCCGTACGGAATGATTGCCTGCTGAAGACAAAAAGGAGTGGGGACTTACTGTGACAAGTACATCTCCTGGAGTCATGCTTGCAGAAGTTGCGACACACCTTCACGCCGCTTTACCCCCCATTGCTGTTCCAGGAGCACTCATTTGGGGGAAAGGCGTGCCTCCTGACGTCTCTGCGACAACACCGGCGCGGAAGCCACGTCGAGGTTTAGCAACGAAGCCTGGGCAAAAAGCTGTTGCTTGCTACCTGAAGCGTGCTTCTTACACTCTTCTCTGAAGGGTCGCCATGTGACAGTACATATGAGACCTGTACGAGACATGCCCTGCCGGCAAGAACGACCGATCGGCAAATGTCTTACAATATGCTGAACTTGCTGAACACATCTCCCGAGACATTGACCGGCATCGTGCGATGCTGTGGAAAGTCGTGTCAGCAGTCAGCAGAAACAGGAAACCCGAACCACCCTTCACATTGAAACCTGACATAAACTTACTCTGAGCCTTGCTGAATGATATTTTGTGGGCGAGGGCCAGCACGCCTACAGGCCTACACGGCCTGCTCTGGCCACGAGGCACAGCAACAGATGCAAACACGCCGGCGCATGCACTCTTTCAGCTGTGAGTCCAGCTCGTTGAGAACATCGTCAAGCCGAGCAAATATTCGCAAAGACGAGATCTTGTCGTACCTTGAGGACCGTCAGCCGTTACACCGCAAATGAATTTCCATGCCTCCTGCCTGTCTAGGACTGTGCCCACAATGCAGGGTGAATTCGAGACTCGGCAATCCTGTTGAGGGCTGTGCAGTGGAGATTAATTAAGCTCATCAAGCACGGCAATCAGTCGCAGCAATGCTGGATCGAACCCCTGTGCAGCACAAGCACAGTGCTTGAGTCCAAGTCACTGTGTCTGCTGCAGTGCCACGATCAAAGTTCCCAGTGCCTTCCAACGTGAAGCAAAACCGCGTGTGTAAACATTCACTATCCGCATCCGGACTGCCACCACTATTCTTAATACCACGAAGTGCTGCTGCTGCTGCTGCTGCCTACATTCCTGCGGCCCCTGTAGCTGCTCGACAGGAGAGGACATGGAAGCACCAAGACAAACAGAAACAAGCAAAGAAAGATAGAAAAAACAGAGAGGCACAGAAAATCTATATGGAGAGCAAGAAAACGACCAAGGAAAACGAAGAGGGACAGAGAGAAGCAGGGAGGGACGGAGCCGCGCAGAGAAGGTCCGAAAGAAACGCAGAGGGACCGGGACAGAAAGGAACAGAGAGGCCAGGGAGGGACAGAGAGGGACGGATTGGGAAACAACGAAGGGACTGAGAGAAGCAGCGAGGCACACAGACGAGGAAGGAACGAAGAAACACAAAGAGCGAGAGCTGCCAACGGAACAAGAGAGAAAGAGAGACAGAGAGACAGTCAAAGCGACAGAGGGGGAGAGAGAGCGGGGAAGAAACAGAAACGGAAGGGGGTCAAATTGTGGGGGTTTGAAGAAGAGGGGAGGGGTCGAAAAAGAGCTTCTCGGGGTCGAAGAACAATTGTTGGGGGGTTGGATAAGAGCTTTACATGAGGTTGAAAAAAAGCTTCCTTGGGGGTGAGGGGGGGGGGGGGGGGAATAAGATGGGGTGGAAAAACGGCTATAAAAAGGGGGTGTGGGGAAAATGACGGGCCCTTTGCCTACTACTTCCTACTCACTACTTGCTGCGTGCTACTTACTACTGCCTGCTGACTGCTGACCACCCACTACTTATTACTTATCATGTACTACTGCTGCTGCTGCTGCTGCTACTACTACTACTACTCCTCCTCCTGCTGCTGCTACTACTACTTCTTCTTCTACTTCCACCACTCTACAGCATGACATGACTCACAGAAGAACGTACTCACCTCTCCGGCATTCCCTGCTTGCCGACCTCTGTCCGAACATGCAGCCTACTCTTTGCAAACCTGAGGACGCCTGCCCACCCCTCATCCCGTCCAGAGCAGAGCCTCGTCTCGGTGCAAGCGCTGGGCCCGCTTGGCCGGGGACACAGCCATGCGATCTGCATTCATTCCGACCTGGGAGACGAGAACGGTCCTCAAGGGTCATGTCCTAAAGACATATGCACAGCATGCTCAGCCAACCCGACCGCGCAAATGCGTTGTGAAACTGGTCTCTGCAGAGTTGCAACATGCCTCGATTAGACTGCAAGCATGGAAGAAGACGCGATGGATGAGCAATTTCATGAGAATTTTCGCCCTCTTGTCACACCCCAAAGGTCGAATGCTGGTCCTAGCAAAGAAAACCAAAACAAGAAAAGCCTGAAGTCACAGAATAATTAAGACTGGATATAATGCCCTGCAAAGCCGATGGGCAGGACCCCGGTCTGCGTCGCCCCAAGCTTGGCAAGTCCCACCAACGCAAACACTTGGCAGCCTGGGAGCCATGGAAGTCCCAAGTGCCAAACACAGGTCCACACGACTCTCCCATTCCTTGGGAGAGATCAACGTGACATTGCAGGCTTCAGATAAAGGGAAGCTGGCTTAATTCTCACAGATTTGGGGATCCTTTCCACTCTCGACAGCATTCTACGGATGCGCGGCAAGCAACCTCCACACGTACAGGTGTGTGTGTGTGTTGAGCCCTTGTCTCGATAAGCAGCCAAGTGTCCAGCATCCACTGAATCAGATCGGAACGGAGAGTCCCGTCCATTGGGACGACCTGGGCATCCATTCAAGCCACGACAGCCCCTGCCAAAATGAAGACGTTTTGTTGGTCTTGGGCAATTGCTGGATTGGAAGGGTCCCACCAAGCACCGTGGATCTCGTTGATGTCCTCACGGGTGAGGTATACAAGCAAAAAGTGCTGCCTCGTATCCTGCCCCACAAACTGAAACTTTGAGCGCTCCTTCTGCGGGAATCCTGCTTTCTGAGGCAGGCCATCATGATTCTGCTGCACCCAGTGTTTCAAGTTTCCTCGCAGCTTGTCACACAAAGCTGGTCTTTGGGCATTATCTGTCACGAAGAACAGAAACACGAAATGTCGACGAAAATTCTTCCAGAAGGCCACTCTTCCAAAGCGCGACGAGGACATGGTGAGCGTAGCCTTGCTTCTCTGACACCATCCCATTCAATGCCATAAACTACGACGATCAAGCTCAAACCCGCTAGGTCGGGCAGACATAGGCACGGCAGACAGGTCAGCCTTCTAATAAACTAGTTGGTATCTCGCAGCACAAGCCATCATCAAGCTGCGAAAGCCAGACATCAACTCTGAAGAAGTGGTGAGTAAATGGGCAGCACCACGCAACTCGGTTCCGCCAGCCATGGCGACTTCGCCGAGGAAGATGAGGACGAGGAGCTTGCCTGCGGGAGACATGCAAGCATTATTACATCAGGTTCACAAGCGGCTTGATGCCTTCGTTGCATAGTCTTTGATGCCAGAGGCCGTCCTGATGCCTAAGAGCAAAGGCACTCCTCCCACGCCTCGAGGCATGCTCACATCGACGGTTCGGGCAGCCAAGCCACCAGCGCCCGTGTAAGCAACGCAGTTTCGGCTTCGCGCAATGAGGTCGGCGAGCAACTTCCTCGGCTGCCAGTCGGTGCGCGACGACCACTGACAGACAGCACTTGTAGCTGCCATGCCATGCCAAGCCAAGCCAAGACACACTTTCGCCTTCAGAACTGCGGGTTCATCCAGATACTCGTGCGCCTGTGCTAGAAACGTCCTCTCTCTGTTCGTGATGCCGAGACGCTGCCTTCATGGTCTTGTATCCAGGTCGGGCTTCCTGGTGCGAAAGATGAAACATCCGGGCCGGTCGGGCTCTTACAAGAGCCACGGTGCCTCGTTGCAAGCACTTGCCAGTCGCGGCAAGGGCCAGTTGGGATCGCCCAAGAAGCCGTGCGCTGACTGACAGCACGATGCGGCATGATGCGGCTGGCCGACAGTTCCCTCCTGAAATCAACTCGCACCTGCGGGTCCGCATCCAAGATGCTGCCAACCTCGGGCTCTGGCTCCTGAAGGCGGGTGCGGCTTTGAAGCTTACCTTTTCGGCAGGAGCAGTCGGAACACGAAGGCACTAAGTTTAAATCAAGCAGCAAAAAAACAACGACGAAAGGCAACCACAACCCGCAGTTTCTGCATCGATATGTCAAAGTCAACGAAAATTCTTCAGTGCCTATTAGAGCATTCGGGTGTCGGGCCTGATAGGGCTTACTACAAGTGGACTCCCAAAAGCGCACCTAGCAGCCGAATACGTTCTCCCCGAAACAGCCACCACACTGGCTGGAGGAGTTCCACACCAAAATGTGACGCAGGGACCTCCACAGTGATCTACCACACTGTCTGGGTTCCACCCCTCCGTCTCTGAAAGTCTCCTCCTCGTCTGCGCCACCGAATTTCAGCCGTTGCATTCGGGCGACCAGTGGGCCAAGCACCTCCAGCGACAAAGCCCTGCAGAGATGGAAAAAAAAGCTAGGGTAATATGTGTCAGAGCATCTCTGCGCTTTGTTCATGTTGCTGGCCATGCGGACTCATTCCATCATGCCAGTATTCCCTTGCTGTTCCTAGCAATAGCAACCCGGGTGGCAAAAGCAACAAGATTTGAAGCAACGAGCTCGGGCCTTTTTGCATCCCGAACAACAGACCCGGTGCTACTACAGGTCTAGCTGTACTACCTCTCTTATTTCATGTAGCTTTCGCGGACAACGGCCAGTATCGGCAAAAGTGCATTGATAAGCAACAACCATGCACTTCCAGACCTTTGCGGCGTCCCTTGCCCCTTTCCTTCCTCTGCTTTCCCTCCAGCTCATGCGCAGCATGTTTTGCTCGATTCTGGCGGCAGAGAATGTGGCATGTCGGGGTCATGGATAAATTAACGACTCGCAAATGAGGGTCAAAGCCCCGCGTTAGCGTTTTGATCGAGCGCGAGTCATAGATTGTGAATCAATGGTGAATCGACTGTCTCATTCAATCTTACTTTTTCTAGCGTGTGTTGGAAACGATCAGTTCTATGAAACTCTCCATGCAAGCATTTTTCTTGTGCGACTTTAGACTCCCTAGAGGTTTTGCATCCTTCTGGTCCGGTCTGCTGCTTTCTCTGCACCGTGGTTGTGTTGTGGTGTCCTGTGTTTCGGGGGAGCGTGCAGACAAGTGTGCAGCATGGGCTTGGGTCCTGAAATACACAAACTCATATACTAAGACCCAGACGCTGCTACACTCACCCACACCCTAAACCCTACACCTTGTATGCCCTAAACCTTAAACTGCGTCTGGCTGGCTGACGCCTCACGAACCCGCTCGGCGAAGTAATCTGTGTTGCGCTGTGCGTCTGCATTGGGTAATACTGTCAAGGAGGCATGCCATTCTCACCGTAGGACCCTCCAGGCGAGGCATGTTCTAAATTTCGTCTGGTGTTGTTACTCTCGACATTTGAACCTCACCCCAAACCTGTGAACAACTCAGCGTTTGGTTTTACACAAACCACGTTCAAAGTGTTCATGGATGGAATCTGGAAACCGAAAAGAATGTCACAATTGACCTCTCTGCTGCCTGTCTCGACTCAGTTGTTTGCTGGGTCGAGCCAACAGGACTAGAAGAACACAAGTTCGACACCCGATGATACCCGATGAGCATGCCAAAATGGTACGAGAGACAGATCCTCTTTTTGGAGTGGTATGAAAGCGCTTCGCGTCCTTGAAGGAATAAGCAACTAGGGTGGAGAGGGTGGGAGCTTAAAACCGTCGGGGGACGCAAGGCCTGCAGCAGCAGGTTCGTCGGGTTTTTGGATACCGGCGGAAACTGTGCCGGTCCTCCGTCGGCATCTGGCTCCTCCGGTCCAGCGAGGCGGATTTGGCACGAGCCGCGGCATGTGCTTGGATTACGCCCGCGATGCGGTTCTGGAACTCTCTCTTCCGCCGGTCCTCCTCATTGAGATAGCCGTCCAAGCCCGGCAGCTGCAGCAGAGGAGGACAACGAAGACGCCTGCTGTGTCTTGGGTGGGGGCGGAAAGCTCGCGACCTTCGCCGCCGCCAGTATCTCACCACGGCCACACGCCACACAGAACGCGGTCGACGTGGCATAGCCGCGACGCTGGGCTTCGGCAGTGAGGTGAATCCAGTCCGCCGGCGGGGGCGACTTGCCCACGGACGTCCCAGCCATTCTTGCGCCGGTCGGCGCTCGATCACCGGCAGCCCCGGTGGCTCAGGAGCCGGCTGTGTTGTCGATGTCGTCGAGGCAGCCGACGGCATACGGTGATTGTCCGGTCCGGATCAATCGCCGGTGGCGCCTCAACGACCGGGGCTACTTTGGCCGGCCGCCTTGGCTTTTGCGTCTGCCCACACCGCCTCAGCGCTTCCCATCGCCATCGCCAGCGTCCGCTGGTGGAGGCACGTCCAATGGCCGAAATGGAGGGCCAAGTCGATCGCCGGCGTCGACCGCATCCTCCAGCACGTCGACCGGTGTGCCACGATATGGCGTCGAGAGGAAGTGCTAAGAAGAGCTTAAAGTCACCGGGCGACGCAAAGCCTGCAGCAGCTGCGTAACATGCGGCATTCGACGAACTTGTCCCTTCAACACATTTCATGTGTTACACCACAAGCCAAGGAGACCACGAGAATCATGGATTTCACTCAGGGGAGCTGGTAGCAGACTGGCAGCAGTCTCTTTCACAATTGAAGGGTCGTTCAGCTTCTCGGATGAAACTAAGCATAATTTGGAGATTCTGGATATCCCCGTACCAGTAACCATGAAGCTGACTCCTTCTGGGAATGCCAGCCAGGCCCTGGCCTATTGAAAACACAACTGACCTGCGCAGAAAAGGTGCTCTCCAACGGAGAGGACAATGGGTCATATGCTTTCAGTGATGATCTGGACGGAATGGAAGCAGAGACTGCTGGGCCACCAACGCAGCCAGCTGAAGGCGCAACATTAGTGTGACTGACCGGCAGGAGACGATCTCATTTGGGAGATGAACAAAACAACGGCAATTCATGCACATATGTAACTTGCGAAACGGGTGCATGCTCGTGCTCTGGGTTCTACAGACTTTGTGTCTCACAGTTCTTCATGTGCCATGCGGATTGGGTGTTCGTGACCAAGCACCGACAGTATCGTCATCAACCATGCCAAAAAAATCTGGTGGCGGTTCACGAGATTGTCACGCTTACACTGCCGATCGTGCCGATGATCACGGCTCATTTCTGATTCTGTGTTCCTCATCTCTGCTCCTGCGCCCTAAAGTTTACCTTTAGCATCTTGTGACAGTCTTGCGCTTCACCACCCACCCGACACTGAATACCCAGAAACACCCCTTGAAAAGGTTGGCCGAGATTCGCTGGGCCTAGTTTAGGCTCACAGTGTACTGGGCATAAGGTTAGCATCAGGTCCGTCTGAACTGCTGAGCTTTCGCCCGGCCTCGTGGTCAACGTAAGACTCACATTCATAGCACCACACACTGAGATCCATCAAGCCCATCGCCAGGAAATGACCTGAAATTCAAGGCCCATGACATGTTCGTTTGTAAAGGAGGGAATTGAGAATGTTGCGTGTCTGCCCACCCATACCTTTCCCGCTGCGGCTTTAGTGGTCGGCCTTGTCAGGCTGTCCTGTACATACCCGGCACCTGAAAGCCTCCGGACGACTTTACAAATGCAAGACCTAGTTCCTGAACCTCTTCGTGCAAGTCCTGTCCAGCGACTAGTGTACATTGTCACTTGTGGCCAGTGGCATGTGGCAGGGCCCCCCTCAGAAGAACCTTCTGCCACTTCAAATTAGCCTTGGCGGAAGATGTTCTGGATCTGAGATGTTTGAGCGCTTGAACTTCATGACAAAGAGATCTTCACCGCCACTGAAGTTGCCATTATCAAGTTGCCCTTGCGTCGAGCCTGCTAAGAAGACATCTCCAGCCGGATTGACCCGGAGCGCACGTGCATAATCCCAGAGTGGAGTTCCCCTCTGCTCAGTCCACTGCCAAGAACCAGAGGGGTCGAACATCATCACAAACACATCCGAGCTACCGGCAGTAACATGAGCATCCAATGAGCCTCCGGTATAGCCTGCGACAAGAATGTTGTCCAAGTAATCGACTTCTATTGCCCAAGCCACGTCAAACTTCTCGGTGCCACGCTGGCGGCTCCACTGCCAGGCCCCGTCCCTGGAGAATTTCATGAGGAAGATGTCCGAGCTTCCCGCGCTCTCTCCATGAAGAGCACCTGATGTCTCACCAGTTATGAAAATATTTCCTGCTGCATCCGTACCGAGATCCAAAGCATCATCATCTGCAACGCTACCTTTCTGACGAGTCCATTGCCAAACTCCATCCCCGCCGAATTTGGCGAGGAAGACATCTTTGCCTCCTGCGTTCTCATTGCCATCCAAATCGCCTCGGGTGTATCCCGCTACCAGTACATTCCCTCGCGCATCCAGCCGCAGAGCACGGGCATAATCCCAAAAGGCGCTTCCACGCTGCTGGGTCCATAGCCAGGATCCACTTGGATCAAGCTTCATGAGGAAGAAATCATACCCTCCGGCGTTGCCTTTGCCATCCAGCGAACCCCCTGTGTACCCGGCTATGTAGATATGACCAGACTGATCCAGCTGCAGGGCGCGACCGTAGTCCCAGTCATTGCTACCACGCTGGCGTGTCCAGAGCCAAGACCCATCCTTGCTGTATTTGGACACAAAGAGGTCGGAACCACCCTGATGGACATTGCCATCCAGTGAGCTCATTGTGTAGCCAGCAACAAAAATGCTTCCCAAAGGATCGATTTGGAGGGCTCTTGCATTGTCTGATTTTTTGCTACCCCGCTGACTTGTCCATTGCCATGTGCCAGAACTGTTGAATTTCATCAGGAACACATCATTTGCGCCAAAGTGCGTGCTATTGCTGAACGACCCAGCAACATCTCCAGCCACTACGATGTCGCCCTCAGTATCCAGTTGCAAGGCCGTGGCATAGTCCCATTCACTCGTCCCGCGCTGGCTGGTCCACTGCCAAGTCAAATCGGCACCCGAGCAGCAGAGCCCAGCAACAAGCATCAGAAGCCCCAACTCGGACATGGCTGTGGCTATTGGGCTTTTGCGTGTGCGACGCACCTGTCTGCAGGCTTGCTGTGGTAATTCAGACCAATTACAGCTCGGCTGGAACCTCAAACTCTGACAGCCTGAGGAGGTGGTGAACTCCACGACATGCCAGGACCGCTTCACATCTCGGAAGATCGGGAAGGTTGCAGCTTCTGTTGCCGCACCCCGCCTCGGCGACAGACTCCGGCTGCTGCCTCTCCTCACATTTTTTTGGACCGTCTGACCGAGTTCCCAAGGTCACGACGATATGACGACTTGAGTCTATGAACCACATGCTCGATGTCCCCCCGAGCCTACGGTGAGAGCTCGTGAATCAGCCTCACGCGTCTCTTGCCAGTGATGCAGGGCCTCCGTCTCCAGGTTTTGGGAAATGCAACTGCGCAGTTTTTTATGCAATCTGAAGTTCCAGTCGGGCCACATGCTTGTTCACATAGCGCCCGCAGTGGGTGACTCCGCACATCAGGCACACCCAGTTCCTCGTGCTACGTCAGCTTGCGAGGACTTCTTGGAGCTGACTGTTGCATGAGTCTTTCGCCTTGATCACTTGATGCCAAGCTTCTCGGAGCCTTTGCATCCCTTGGCGCAGGGGTTGCCGAACTCGAGAGCTGCCTGCACACAGGTCCCCACCATTCCTCCCTGCGTTCCCCCACCAAGCACCGGAGCCAAACCTGAAAGCACTACATACAGCCCCCGGCCCCCCCGGTCAACTGCAACAGGCACTTCAATCATGATGGACCTGCCGCCCTCCTGCCTTCTTCACAATAGTGCCCAGTGGCAACTCGCAGATGTGAGGACAATGCTTGAATTCCACAGCGCCGCCCTTGTCCTCTTCTCCTGAGTTTCATGTGGCTGCTCACAGAACTTTTCTTTAACAGGTTAAGTCACCTTGAGACTTTGTGAAGGACTTCCAGAGCACGGCTACGGATCTTTTTTCTGGACCGAATTTCAAGGGTTGGCTGGGATCAATGCAAGAAGATCAGCATGTCATACCGCCATGGCCCTACTCGATTTCCCAAGCCATGGCACCATGATCCAACAACCAGTTGATGGCCAGCTGTACATCTGAGACGTCCCCAATGTTTGCGACTGCCTGCAGCAATGCTGCAGCAACAAGACACGGAACCCGAAACCAAAAAGCCAGCAGCCAGCACAGGCGAGACTCGCATTCAAACATTGGAACTTGATCGGGAACCGGTCCTTGCCCCCAGTATCCCCCTGCGACAAGACTGTTGTACGAACCGAAACTGCTGGAGCCCGGGTGGCCAACTCGGTTCCCCCCCGACTGACTCTTGCGTAATGCAGTGTTCCTGGAACGATCACCGAAGAGATCATGGCCACGCCGCATGTGAGCCCCCGGCCTCGCGCGCGCGATCCTCGGAGAAGCCAAAGTTGATGAGCTCTCTCACGGTGGCCTCTGCCATCGCTGGGCCTCGTTCCGACCCGAAGCTGGGACTCAGGATCCCAGATCCTCGTGAATGCACACCCCCCAACACTGCAATGCTGCAGCCAGGCATCACTGCAAATCGAGCTGGAATAGCAGATTCTCTCAGCCACCGTGTCTCAATCGCATTCCAAGCATAGGCACCAAATCACGACTTCAAAATTGCCAGGAATGCACAGCACACGCTACATACAGACTGTCGGCTCAACATGGACTCGGGCAGTCTAGGACAAATATCCAAGGCCCGGCAACACCATTGTCGGGAGACGTGTCTTTTATCCTGTTCCTTTGCGCAGCTGCACATAATCTGAAGCGGGTGCTTTGCGCTTCAGCCGCTTCCGGGTGGGTGTCCACGTCGAGAAGCCCTGCACACTCACCCGCCCACAGCCAGCAGTAACTCAAAGTCAGCCCATGGACAAACCGTTGTGGCTCCAGCCCTTTTGCCGGACTTTCTATACCGGATTGCCTCTATCCACCCTGGTATGCCTTTTAGACCTTTTAGTCCAACGAGTGTGGAACGGCCACTCACCCATCATTCTCATGTATTATTTTTATCATCCAGCTCAGAACCCAAGGGTAACAGTGTGACTTGCCTCTTCACGAAGGTCGGCTTGCAACTCTTCAGGCAGGTCTGGGTAGAACTCTGCCAGGCCACTTGCAGGGCTACTGGATGCAGGAGACGCATCCGAAGGCTGCTGCGACAATGCTGGAGGTATCAGTTCGCTTCCAGATGCTAGAGCAGGTGCGACGTCAACTGCAGAGTCCTTGTCGTCCTGCAATTCCAACGATGGGTGAAAGTGCTCTTTCTGGGTAGGTTGTGCAGTGTTGCTCGCCTCCGCGCTGCCCATCATTGGTTGATGTTCTTCTGCTCGGTGCGTCGGTGCAGAATCTGGCTGAGCGAAAGAGGCAGGCACGACCAAGTTCACGGCGGGAATGATTGTCGCCGTGGTAACCCTTCGCGCCGAGGGTCCAGACTTGGCCTTGCCCTTACCTCGCCCCTTTCCGTTCGGGGAGGGCATTCCCGAGGAGCCTGGTGAAAACTCTGATCCTTCCCCTCTCCCCCTGTGTAGGTGAGGTGAGGGCATGTCTGGTAAGTCCTCACCACCCGCCTGCGACCTGCCGGTCCTGCCGTCCAACGGTGGCGGAATGGACAAGTCTTTCCGCTGTGGGGGAAACGTTGCTGTGTCCACATGCGAAGACGGCCACCGACCGCCTCCTGCTACAACTGCAAAAATGCGCTGCAACTGCCGAGACCAAACAAAGGCCTGAGTCTGGCGCAGCACGCTGCCGCGCCTGGCACTGGTCTTGGCAATTGCTCAGTCAGCCCTCGCTCACAGCCCTAGGCCTCATCCCACAACTCGTCAGAGTTCAAAGCATGCTGTGCTGCACCTAGGAAAAAAGCAACATGACGGAGTTCTGTCCCGTACGAGTTCAACACAAGGACCCAGCCTCGCCAGAACGAGAGCTCAGGTTCCTCCTCGACGATGACCTGGACTGAGCTAACAAAAATCTGCAGCAACTTCCCAAGCAACTGGAGACATAAAACATTCCTGAAGTTCGAAGGCCAGACAAGGCAACAGACATCAACAGACCAAACCTTTCTCTGTTTTGGTGCTTGTGCTCCGAGTGGGTTTTGGTCGGGCATATGGTTGCAGCTGTCAGCAAGGTTGCCTTCGCATCGACGTCACGGCTTGACATGAATATGATAGCTCTCCCGGGGCAACTGCATGAAGGATTAAGATGTCCAAATTAAGCTGCAAAGGATTCCGGTATGGAAATGATCTGCCATCGTTTGCATTTTACATCGCGCAACCTCGACCGGCCAGTGGCTTGGGAGCAGCTGGCGGAGGTCAAGCCTGTCCAACGCTGACGAACGAACTCTGCTTCCCGGGCCCTCGTATCAGAAAACCCCTGCTAATGTCTTGCTTCCCCACACTGAGACTGCCTGAGCCTCGATGCCAGGCCAGGGAGGCGTGCCAGGCCGCCGCAGAGCACCACTCGGCCAAAATGGGGTCGCCAAGTCTCCTCACAAGGACATACTCATGCCCAGCTCATGCCAGCTCTCGCGGTGTGACAGATTTGCCAATTCGGCCTCCGGAACCGCCAAGATGGCGGCATGGACCAACCTTTATTCGAGGCAACAGGATGGTAACTACGTTGGCCTTCACTGGGTGGAACTATCGAGAACTTCGGATGGGCAGCATTTGATGTATCCAAGCAGCTCAGGCAAACCACACAGTGGCAAGCCGTGGTCCTGAAGAGACAGCATTTGTTAGATCCAACTCTGCGACCTGCGCCTCATGGATTAGCATTACCAGTGAGGATGTGCTAGCTCGAGTCATGAAATCCCAGATTCAAAAACCTGAGCTTTCTCCAGGCTGCGCACAAAACATGGAAGCTTCGACGTGATCGACAAGTGCCTATACCCATAGCAACTTACGGGAACATCCCTGTGCTGGTATGTGTAAGATTGACAGCCCGTCCTGGGGCCGGAAAAGGGCCTCGGGAATTACCACCCGTTCAGCCGTCAAAGTGACGCGCTGCCGCCCGGAGTTGGAATCCTGTCTCATCCAGAGCGGGAGGAGGCCCGCCTAACCACACAAACCTACCGATGCCACGGCAATTCGTTTTCGCTTTCCAAGACACGGAGATGAGCCGATTCGTTACAACTCAAGTAGCACACTTGTATCCAGGCAAGGCACATGGCACAGTAACGTGCAACTGAAACCATGCCTACTGGAAAACGGAAAAGGCATGACCATTCGCGGCGGGGATTGGTAGAAGATCTTGACTTGAAGGAGAAGGATGACCAGGGTGCATGACGACAGCCGTCTCAGGAAAGGCGTCCTGTTGAGAAGAAGAGGGCTCTTCTTGGAGGTAGCCTGCCATGTCTTCCTCGCCAAGTGAAGATGTTGGACTGGGGCGAAATATTCTTCTGATATCAAGAAACTATGAACTGATGTAAAAAGCTTTTTTTGTGCTTGCGGAATGCAATTCACAGCAGATGCACACAGTGAGCCCTCACCCCGTAGAAGTCTGAGTACTCTTGCAACTGCATGCTTGCCCGTCCAATCTTGGGATCACGAGCTCGCACAATGCAAATGCAGCGACACGAGCCAGCGATGACCAATCAGCCCTCTTTGCCTCAAAATCCGGGAGGACATAGGTCAGCGGGGCCACGCCAGAAAAGTCCTTCGTCAGAGCTGCACCAAGGTTCCGCAGCACCTCGCCCGTCCTCGAAAGCTCGACAGTGACGGAATGCATTTTCCGAGGAGCTATCGCATGATATGAGCGCACCAAGGCACTAAGACACTACTAAGACCTGGAAATACCACGCTGGGCAAGAAGAAGAGGAGGAGGTTTACTTCCCCCTACGACCAGCCCGGAAGTCCTTTTCAAGATGTCTTCCACAAGCAGCCAGGACTCCGAGAGGTTGAAGTGCTGCAGCTTCCTTTGTACACTGGGAGCTCGTTCAAGCACTGCAATGTGTGCTTGGGAGCAACCCCTGCTGCAGAAGACACTTGTTGGATTTCGTTCTACGAGTAGTGGTTGTAGTCGTCGTCGTCGTCGTCGTCGTCGTAGTAGTAGTAGTAGTAGTAATTGAGTGAGTGAGTGAGTGAGTGAGTGAGTGAGTGAGTGAGTGAGTGAGTGAGTGAGTGAGAGTGTGAGAGTGTGAGAGTGTGAGAGTGTGAGAGTGTGAGAGTGTGAGAGTGTGAGAGTGTGAGAGTGTGAGAGTGGAGTGGAGTGGAGTGGAGTGGAGTGGAGTGGAGTGGAGTGGAGTGGAGTGGAGTGGAGTGGAGTGGAGTGGAGTGGAGTGGGTGAGTGAGTGGGTGAGTGAGTGAGTGAGTGAGTGAGTGAGTGAGTGAGCGTCGACCAGCACTTACGGTGCGGCCTGCCTCCCACGTCCCTCTCAACATCTCAGAGGGGCTCCGGAAACGTCATAG